CATTGCCAAGGACTCGGGGAACCAGCCAAGCCTCCTTTAATTGAGTAAAATGACAATCAGCCGTGGTACTAAAACAGAGATGATTTTTATAAATAGGGTTGATAGCAGGATTTTTCCAGCTTCTGATTGCTGTCTGGCTATGGTTCCACCCTGAGAAAAATTCTGCCCTCTGAGTGCCAAATTCAGAAGATGATTTTGCCCAACTTGTTACTGCCATATTTTCTGAATCTCTTAAAATAGGATTGAATCATAATTTAGAAAAGGGACCCAACATGCAAAAATGGATGGGCACATAGGATGCAGCTAGGTTTGTAGGATGCACTCACCCCATGAATAGTGAAATCTTTCTCAAATCCAAAAATTTTACTGAAGCACAGCTTCTGACATTACACTAAGAGCACGGTCTCTTCCCATAGTGTATTGCCTTGGGGAAATGGAGATGTGAGACGCTCATTAGCTCTTTTAGTTTGGTGCCCCCCCCCCAACAAAAATTCTGTCTTCTCTCCCATCCCACCCTCTACCCCACTGCCGAACTCTCTCCCTGTCTCTCCCTCCCTGTCTCTCTCTCTCTCTCTCTTAAACACCTACACACACACACACACACACACACACACACACACACATACACACAATCTAGCATTCTGGAATCAACAGTACATAGCTAAAACTTATGAAGAGAGATTACATGAAGAATCTTTTCATGCCTTGTGATAATGCCCTAAAGGGGTCAGTAGTCTTCTCTAGTTCAATGTTAATGATAGGCTGAGGCCCTAGAAATAATCTCAGTGACACAGGGCAGCCTCTGAGTAAGGAGACTTTATCTCTGAGAAGACATCACAGGCTTCAAAGGGCTTTTGGAGGGAAATGGTGGCAGCCCGGGGTACCGCTGTTCTCATATTGAGCCATCTCTGTACCTTATCCATGCGTCTTTGGGCCTCCCTGCATCCTCGTGTGAACAAATCAGATGCAGGCCTCGTTGTGGTTTTGATTTCAAATATCACTGTCTACCGGGGACCCTCGGAGGCCTCTTAGCTTACACTACCTCACTCAGTCCTCCCAGTGACCCTGAGAAATAGATGACATTGTTCCCCTCACTCCACAAAGGATAAAACCAGAGCTCAGAGAGATCCAGAGCAGTCAGAATTTGAACCCAGATTTTTTTTAATTCTAAGCTAGAATGCCTCCTTTTTGAGTGCCACTATTGTGAGGATCTGCCATTTGTGGGGGTTTTCTGTTGTTGTTGTTTCTTTATTTTGAGAGAGAGCGAGAGTGAGTGGGAGCAAACAGGGGAGGGGCAGAGAGCGATAGAGAGAATCCCAAGCAGGCTCTGCACTGCCAGTGCAGAGCCAGACGTGAGGCCTGACCCCACAAACCATGAGATCATGACCTGAGCCAAAATCAAGAGTTGGACGCCCAACGGGCTGAACCACCCAGGTGCCCTGTGAGGATCTGTCTTTCGACCAGAAGGAGAACACAACCACTTGGGGCCAGCCCTCCAGGAGAGAAGGCATTGGGAAGTCTCCTCCTCATCCTTACATTCTCTTCCCTGCTTTCTCTACATGTACTCAGGCCCACTCGCTACCTTTCCACATGAACATCCACTTTTCAGCCCTTTCCAGTGCTCTTTCATCTCTAGCTTGCACAGATCTCGTGGGTCCAGGGTTCTTTTATTTGCCCAACGTTGGATTCTGTTGTCAGCGGAAGTAGTGGAGACAGACACGTACCCAAAACCATAATGCAAGTCCAAGTGCAGGAGATGTTCCGATGTGTATATTTTGCTCCCAGGCAATGGCAACGTCCACGTCCTCTGTGTCCATCTTCTTGCTCTAACCGTGATTTATTTTTCTACCTAGAAGTTCAGCAGACCAAACACTGGTTGGATTAAAAAACACCTAAAAAGCAGCCCCACAGATAAAACGAACCTAAACAGGTCGTGAAGATAAGCACTTCATGCCTCCCATGAGGAGGCTTAGTTTGGATGGGTACAAGCAAGAGGAGCTTAGTTTGGATGGGGACAAGCCCAGTTTCTGGAGCTTCGAGGAAGCAGAGCCCCAAAACGCAGGCTTTCAGCCTCTGTTCATTTTGTTATTAAATGAAGAAATGTGCGGTTTCCATGGCAACAGCCCTACCAAAATTTTATGGCTTCTCTGACTACTTGCTGGCCCAAATCAGCTCACTTTTCAAAGCAGGTGCTCTTAAGGGATGCTTTTTGGAAAACCACATTCTAATGTGAGAATGGGGGAACCCCACCACCAGACCCTTTTTTCAGTCGGTACCTCCAGGCTTTGGCATAAGAGGTAATTGCCTGTAGCCTAATGAAAACTGTAGGTATAATTTCTGTCTCCTTGGGTCAGGTCAGCAATGGGAAGAAAGCTTCAAATCCTGCTAAAGGCAGTTCATGAAAACACTAGATTCTATACGGATTGTAGCAGAAAAGACTTTGTGATCTTGCTGTTGCCTCTGTCATCTTAATGTTCTCTTGTCGCTGATATGAAGCAGACCCTGCATATTCATCGGTGCCCTCCTGTGCATTCCCTGCTTGGGAGAGCAGCCCTGGGCATGGTAAATTACATATTGCAAAGTCATCGTGTGGCAGACTCGATGACGAGCCTCCTGACCCCCTTTGGGAATGAAGGATTTGCTCCCTCACTTGCTAGGAAGCCTCAGTCAGTCCTCAGCTACCAGCAGCCTGTGGGGGCTCAGAAAGGCCACTCAAGATCACACTCCCTTCCCAGTGGCCTCCGTCTGATGGCTGACTGATACAAAGCTACAAAGGCCCAGCCCCTTTGGCTGAAACTCAGGACAGCTCTGAAGGGTCATCCCATAGGCCTTGTGGGGGAGTGTTGAGACACAGCTCCACTCCCCCGGTGCCCAATCCCTCCCAGCAGGTGCTAATCCCAAGAGCATGCCCCAATGAATGTCTTGGCTGCTAACTTCTATCCCAGAGTCTTTCCCTCAGGAACTTGACTTGTGGCACATTCCAAGGTCTAGAAGTTGCCCAGGTCAGGAGTATCTCCCACCCAGGAGAGCAGAGTCAAGGCAGCAATGAGCTGTAACACGCGACATGACCACCAGAAGCCTGGCAGTGCTCGTTGACCCTGACGCAGTGTGTGGTACACATCTGGCAGGCGACATGCTTTCATTCTGTTCCCGAGTGACTATGGATGTTCACATTTGCCCTCTAACACCAATAAAGACAGATGGAAGTCTCTGGAAAAAGGATTCACATACCCACATGCCACCTCTACCAGGAGGAGTCCTCTGGCCGTCCCTTCTCCCTGTCCCTTAACTGTGGCTGCTGTCACAAATTACTACAAACGGAGTGGCTAAAGCAACCCAGATAATTTCTCTCGTTGTTTTGATGGTCAGACATCCAAAATCAGTTTTGTTAAAGATAAAGGGAAGATGTCGGCAGCGCCGGCTTCTTCTGGAGGTTCCAGGGTAGAAGACGTTTCCTGGCTTTTTCCAGGTTTTAGAGGCCACCTTCATTCCTTCGCTCGTGGCCCCTTCTTCTACCCTCAAAGCCAACAGTGTAGCAGCTTCTGTACTGCCTGACCTCTGCTCCTACCTTACACCTTCTCTCTCCTGACCCTTCCACCCTTCTCACCCAGGAACCCTTGTTTGGAATGACATTGAGCCTACTTGGATAATCCCTCCACATCAAGATCCTTCACTTAGAGGCCCCTGTGTGGCTCAGTCGGTTAAGCGTTTCCACCATGTGTGACCTCGCGGTCATGAGATTGAGCCCCAGGTCGGGCTCTGCGTTGGCAGCACGGAGCCTGCTTGCGATTCTACTCTCTCTGCTCCTCTCTCTGCACCTCTTCCATTCTCACAATAAATAAATAAACATGGAGAAAAAAAAGATCCTGATGTAATCGCATTTACAAAGTCTCTTTTGCCATGTAAAGTAACATATTCATAGATTCTGGGGGTTGGGACATGGACGCCTTTGTATGGGTATCATTCAACCTCGGACACCAGTGCCCATGCCTGAGTCAGGACTCCAGGCAGAGGAATGAACACACGCAGAGACAGGAAGGCAGGGCCTGATGTCATTTGGGCAGCTGTGGATCTTTCTTAAGGTGGGAGCATAGGTTTCAAGAGAAGCATGTCAAGTGATCAAACTGGACAGAGATGCAGGGGAGCTCACATTGGATACATGTCTTAAACTTGAGTTATAGTTAATCATAAATGTGGCTCATCTCCCTGTTTGCCCATAAGCACCTGAGGCCAGGACATGGGTCAGTGTCTTCCCGATGTCACCACAGCTCTGGCTCAGAGACCGGCACAGGACAGGAGTTCGGTGCAGGTGTGTGTCATCAGCCCATGGCAGCTTTGCCCTGCTATGACACCGTGGGGGCAGAGTGGTCTGAGAAGAGAACTGTCCTGGGCACCTTCATCTTGGCCACGTGACCGGCCTGCTTGGACCTCCCCAGATCGGGACTTTTCCTGGGCCGGCAGCGTGGGTGAGCACGAGTGAAGCCTTTCTGAAGGGATACATAATAATGCTGGCCCAGTGATCATAGTCAAGGCTGAAAGATGGGTGCACGAGGGTCAGTATGCTCTCCTATCTACTGGATATTTCCATAATATCAAGTTTTTCTTAAAGTTATGTGAGCGGAAGTTAGCATCCTTGAAAACCAGGTACCAAAAGGGAAGAGAAGTCTGTGGTGATAACTGGGTAATGATAGAGAAAAAAATGGGTTAAGACTATAAAAAGCTCATGTCTGTTACTTAATGAGAAAACATCTGTACGAGCGCTTCGTAAACCGTAAAGCGTTCCATACCCATAAGGGACTTTTCCTCAGTTATTAATACAAACGGTATTTCTTCAGGAATTAGGCAATTTTCCAATCTTTTGTATAGTAAATGAGATGGATTTCCTTCCCATCTACGAACCTCGGGGCTCACTGAAGTACTTCTTTCTCAACACAACCTTTCCTTTTGATGTCAGTTTAAGGTGTGTTGATTTTTTTCCTCTGTCTGCCCCTCATCCTCAGACGCTGAAGGACGCCAGTGACAACGCCCGCAAGGACTTCCACCGTGAGGCAGAGCTGCTGACCAACCTCCAGCACGAGCACATTGTCAAGTTCTACGGTGTCTGTGTGGAGGGCGACCCGCTCATCATGGTCTTTGAGTACATGAAGCACGGGGATCTCAACAAGTTCCTCAGGTGCGGTGCGGGGGATGGGATGGGAGGGGGCTTGAGGACGGTGCAGGCCTTCATGATTAAGACAGACGGAGAGTGAGGACCAGCAGTTGCTGGGAAGGTCCAAGGGTCACTTGGAACTTTCTCTAGAATGGCCTCTCCTGGTGACACCACCACCATGTACCACAGAGAAAGAAACTGAGGCCACAGCAATGTTCTTGTCTTAATGAACTAACTCTACAGCATGCGATGTGAGCGATTCCACTCAGTTGCACCTGTGTTCATTGAGCATTTGTTAATGAAGTGACATGTGACATGGCATTTGAAGTGGACCGTAGAGTATCTGTAGGAGTTTGCCAGGTGGATTAGAGAGGAGTGTCCTTCAGGGCTAAGGAATCAGTGAGTTAAGGGACTAAGGTGTCACGGTGACAGGTTTGGTCATCCAGGAGTGGAGAGCCCAGAGTAGGCACAGGATGTGTAAAAGGAGTGAGGAGGAGTCAAGGGTGGAGGGATGAGCAGTTGGATTTTAACCTGACAACAAAATGGAGACCCAGGAGGTCAGGAGGTCAGGAGGTCAGGGATGTGGTGAAAAGAACAGAATCCATAGAGCAAAAGCTCTGGAAGGAAGGAGGTCAAAAAACATTGGATGGGACCATTGGAAACACGGGCTATAGTTCTTGCTGAGCCCCTGAAGCCCTGCAAAGATGGACAGCCTTCACTTGAGGTGTTTTGTGGCAAACAGGGTCATTAGAAGAAGGCAAGGCAAGGAAGGGGGAAATGTTGATTATATAAGGGAGCCACTGGGTTATAAAATAGGGTCCGTGTCACTTGGATTTCTAGCATTAACCTAATTAGATTTTAGTTTACCAGTGGCTTCCTAGAAAGTCCCCCACCTTATGACAGGGAGGGGTCTCAAGACAGAATAAGTGAGAGACAATGCTGAGTGCTCATAATCCAGGGGTCAAGGTGAAGATACTCTGAAATAGTAAGGAGTTGAATCTCAGCTCTGGCGTTTATTAGCCAAGGGACCTTGGGCAAGTGTCTCAGCTGTTCAGGTAGTGATATGGAGCTAGCAGGGCAGATATGAGGACTAAGTTGGGACAGGTACAGAAAGCTCTTAGCATAGAAGCAAATAGGAAGTTTTCAACAAGCAGAAGCTTGAATTCCACTGGTGATGATATCTACTGGTAAACCAACTTCCTCCGCGAAGGGAATCACTGGGAGAGCTACACTGGGTAAGACAGAGAAGCCCGTGGTCACCCAGCTACGGTTCCCGGTCAGTGTTCTCCTCCTGCACCTCCCAAGGGACAGAAGAAATGAGCTGATCCACACACTCCTTGCTGAAGGAAACCAAGGAATGCTTTTATTTGCATTGAGCGGGGGAACGAATGGAGCCCACCCGTTTAAGATCATGAGTGGAAAGAGTGAGATTCCCAGTAGCGTGGCCTGGGGAGACTGGATTCTCCTTCCCAGTCTGCATCAGCAGCTGTGTCGCTTGGGTGGGTCCTCAGCCCACGTGGACCTGAGTTAGAGTCTCTCTGTGTCACCTCTGGCTCTAACATGCAGTTGTCTTTCCAATGTAGCTGCCCCTCAACTTTGAAAGATTAGCAAGTGTGCTGCCTGTGATATCTCAGTAGGTAGTAGAATTTAGGACAAATGAGAAAGACGTCGGCCTCAGTAAAAGGGGTATAATAATGCCCACATAGAGGACTAATGTCAAGACTATTGTGGTGGCAGATAATCGGTAAGATGCTGTCCCCGCTGTCCTCCCTCTCTGCCACGCTGAGGGATCCACAATGCTGGGGATATCATACCTCTTGTGTTACGGTGACCTCTCTATCCTTCTCCAGTTTCTGGGGGCGCTGGAAAGGGCTTTCCCCAGAAAAGGGCACCAGGTAGTCACTTCGTGCAGCCCCTGGAAGATTCAGAAACTGTGCTGTTTACATAATAAGTCCACCACGGTGAGAACAATGGAGGGGGCAATGTACCTCTGTGCTTGGAAAATGCCATCATGTGGTTTGCACCTTCTGGATCACTTTTGCCGTCTCTAGCCTCATGAATACGTGTGCAATTTAGTCCTCTTGCTGGGATGGGTCTCCATGCTCTGCCTTGCTTACAACTGTTGGGGTGGGGGGGAAGGAAAGCCAGTGAAATTAGGGATGTGTAGCCGACACTTGGTGTTCAGAGACCATCATCCTGATGCACTACTCTGTGCCTGCAAGGTTTTTCCTGTAGGTGATAAGAGATGATGATGGTAGCTTTTGTCTTTCAGCTCTGATGTGAAAGGAGGAAAATTAGCTGCTCCTAGAAGTATTTTTCCCTTGTTCCCATGATCTCAGCTACTTGTCTATTTAAAGATGGTGCTTTCCAAAAACTGTAGCATAATACAACCAAACGTATTCACCCATATGCAGTGAAATGCTTCTGTGAGCTCACACTGCGTGTGCACATACGTGTATGCATGCGTATGTAACCGTGTGTGTGTGTGTGTGTGTGTGTCTGTGTGTGCACGCACACGCATGTGTTGATCCTTTCGCTTTTGGCTCAACCAACCTCCTTCCTGCTTCCAGAAGAAGCAGGCACCTGATTTTTAGGAATCTCTTCTGCTTGATCTCAGGATCTGATGAACTCTGGTTTCAAGAGGTATTCAATGCCAAGAATCAGATTCTTAGGCACAATAATGTGCTCTGAACTATAGTCTGTCCTCCCTTTCTGGAAGGGAGTCTAGCCCCTAAACCACCATGAACATGTCCCCAAGCATCATTGGCGCTGGCCTATAAAGACAGATGTCTACAATTTCCTCTCACTCTTTTTATTCACCCCGAAACCATACATTGAGTACCAACATGGCCAAGTCCTCTGCTAGGTTGGCCAGGAAATGAGGAGTAAAATATAGTTCTTGCTGGCAAGGAGATGACAGTTTTGCCTATTGGAATCTCTCCAGAATTCCTTTCCAACAAGAGGAAGAGAGATAAGGCTTTTCCAAGCAATAATAGCTAATATTATTGAGCCTTCTAAGCAATTTAAGTGGCTTAACTTGTATAAACTTAATAAACTATGATTACCATTATTCCCATTTTATGGTCCAAAAAACTGGGTCATGATGCTGGTGAGTGACACAGCTGAGATTCAAACCCACAGACCCTGGCTGCAAAACCCATAGAGCACTGCAATACTTCCTCTTGGGGTAGCTGTTGATAAAACTCAGAAGGAAGGTAGTGTGCCGTGGCATTCTGGAGCCAGACAGTGTGGCTAAGTGCCCGCTGTAACCCACACTTGGAGAGAATAAGCGGAGGAACGGTGAACAGCTTCCCCCGTTAGAAGCCCACTGAGCCTTCCCGCTCCTCAAGCGGGGTGCTATTGGTGCTTTTCCCCTCTTAAGGCATGTTCTCCTGGAAGAGGTAAACATGGTTTGATTTCTAAGAGCTGCAGGGTCACCTGAGGAGTGAAGCAGAGAGCTGCTGTGTTAAGTTCATTTATACTCCTCTTGAGAACTTGGTTAGAAGACTCACCTGCCCTCTTACAGCAGGACTTTCTGCTCCAAGAAAGCATGCAGAGGTGTCTCCCATTACAAGGAGTCCTGTTAAGTACTCACAAGCAAGCAGGGAAACCATTGGTTTAGCGTGCCGGAGCCTGCCCCAACCTGCACGTGGTATCAGAGAGTGCAGAAGGCACTGGGGAGTCACAGCTTTCTGGGGCCTTCAGAGGGTAAGGCTGGAGCATGGGGCTTTGTGCACAGGTGGCCTATGGCACTGGCCTCTGTCTTCTCTGGAGACTTTGCAACTGATAGATTCTTAGAAGGGTCTAGATTCCTGGCAAATCGGCAACGTTATTTCACTCTTTGATTTAGATCCATGAAGGAGAGATTCCATCCTGGCCTAGATTCTCGGGATATTTCAGGATTTCTCATAGTTTGTGTGTTCTTCTAGGTCTCTCTGCTGGTATTGAAGTCACAGGCAGGGCTTTGTCTCCTGTAATAAAAGACAACATTCCCACTTTCCCCTCTTTCCCCGGCCCCCTTGGGTGCTGGGAAGAACAACATTGGAGCGATCTTTAGTGCTGGCTTTGCACGAAAGCCCAAGCAAGCTCTCAGTTATTGCTCGTATTAGTGAGCTCAGGAGGGTGCAGTGGGTACCCCCTCTTTACAGAATGAGAAGACGGTCCAGAGCGGTTCTGCAGGTCACCTGAGGTCACAGCTAGTGTGCTAGGATGGGATTCAAATTCCGTTTGGATACCCTGAGCCTTGCCCAGAGGTTTTGAGCTGAACAGAGCCCCAGGGCATTTCCCCACACTGCTCCTCAGTGCTACAACGGGGAGGCACTAGGGGCTGGGTCTGAGTGGAGGTGACAGGCACCAGAACCTCCTTGCACAAAAACAGGAAGCCCCTCCCTGGGAATGGTTCAACGCAGATATTTAGAGACACAAGGGACCTACAGGATCACCCAGCCTAATATCTATATGTTTGACTGATGGAAATTACAGACTGGACAAGTTCAAAGCTTCCCTAGATCCTGGTGCTGGGAAACTCCCCTCCTCCTTGTCCAGTGCTTGTTCTTTTTTTTTTAATTTTTTTTCAACGTTTATTTATTTTTGGGACAGAGAGGAGCATGAGCGAGGGGGGGAGGAGCAGAGAGGAGACACAGAATGGAAACAGGCTCCAGGCTCCTGGGCCATGCATCAGCCCAGAGCCGATCTTGGGGCTCGAACCCGCAGACATGAATCGTGACCTGGCTGAGATTGGGCAACAACCGACCTGCGCCACCAAAGCCCCTGTTCTTTTTTAATATTTTTAAGAGGCAGAGAGAGAGAGACAGAGACAGAGACAGAGAGTGAGCGGGGGAGGAGCAGAGAGACAGGGAGACACAGAATCCGAAGCAAGTTCCAGGCTCCGAGCTGTCAACACAGGGCCCGACGCAGGGCTCAAACTCACCAACCGTGAGATCGTGACCTGAGCCGAAGTCGGGTGCTTAACCGATGAGCCACCCAGGTGCCCCTCCAGTGCTTGTTCTAAGGGAATATGAGAGTAAGAGATTTGGAATCACTGTGGGCTGGAGCCAGGAAGGAGGCACTTCCACCCGTGGTTTGAGACCATCTGACTGAGGTGGAGTCTGGTGGTATGGAGAGACAGAAGGAGCAGAGAGTTCTGAGATCATTCAGCCTCTTTTATTTGCAAATTCTCATACGGTTCTGGAACACTGTAGGTGGGGTCGTCCACTTTAAAATCCATTTAAAATCTTCTATATTTATTTTGAGTGCTTCCAACTGTCCTGAAGGAAATCTTCTCCCTTATTTGCCTCTGGGAGGGAGAACCCCTTTGACCCCTCCACAGAAGCTTCTAGAAGAAAGGGACCCTTTACTCTTTGCTGTACAGAGCCATCAGGGGCAGCAACACCGGTCTTCGCAGGATTCCGGAGTGGGGACCGCCAGGGCTGAGAGCACATCCTCACTGTGGGACCCCCCCCCCTCCCGAAAGCATGCCAGTGTTTAGATACCTTAAGTCATCACACAACTGGGAAAAGGCCAAGTGCATAAGACAGAAGAAAAAGAAGATATGGACGCCTGGGTGGCTCAGTCCATTAAGCAGCCGATTCTTAATTTCCGTTCAGGTCGCTGACTGCACTCACGGATTGAGCCAGCACGTCAGGCTCTGCGCTGACAGTGTGGAGCCTTCTTGGGATTCTCTCTGTCTCCCTCTCTCTCTGCCCCTTCCCTGCTTGTACTCTCTCTCTCTCTCTCTCTCTCTCTCTCTCTAAGTAAATAATCTTTAAAAAAACTATTTAAGAAAAAGAAGATATAAAATACCATACTCCCTCTACACCCTCCCCCCCATAGTGGAAAGGATAAAACTCAGCCCAGTAAAAGGATCAATGTATTGTGGTTCAAAAAGCTCTCCATGTGGTGGCCAGTGCACATGCTGAGCCGGAGGTGGGGGGAGGGGTGGGCAGGAGGAGATGGGATTTGTCACGGGGAATGATGTCTGAGGGTGCCCTGACATTCTGCTCAGTTGGGCTTGAAGGAGAGACGGCAGCTTGAAAACCATACCCCCCACCCCCCGCTGCTGCAGAGCTCTGGCCCTGGTGGGGTCACTCTGGAGGCATTGGCCCGGGTCGGGGGCGCTCGGCCGAAGCATATAGCTGAGAGGGGAGGGCTGGGGTTCCCACTAAGGCACGATGACCCATCGCTTCAAGAGAGCCAAACTCTCCCCTTATGTTCTTTCTCCATTGCTTCTCAGGGTCAGGGGCTCTGGCCAGTGCCTGGCCCCAGCCCAGCTCTGGAGCCCCTAAAACGTACACCTCTGTGTGTGTGTTGAGGAGGGTACCATTCAGGTCCACATGGCCCTGGGAATTCTAGGTGCCCTGGGAAATGAAGCCTGGGTGCTCTCAAGGCTTTAGGGGTGCACCTGTGGGTGAAGCATCCTTCCCCCCTCTTTAGCTAAGTCAGGCAGCCCTTGAGCCCCAGCAGCTGATGGGAGCAAAGGGCCCCCGGAGGAAAAAGCTGGGGCTCCAGCAACGCCTTCCATTTCCTCCACAGGGCCCACGGGCCTGACGCTGTGCTGATGGCCGAAGGCAACCCGCCGACAGAGCTGACGCAGTCCCAGATGCTGCACATCGCCCAGCAGATAGCGGCGGGCATGGTCTACCTGGCGTCCCAACACTTTGTGCACCGAGATCTGGCCACCCGGAACTGCCTGGTCGGTGAGAACCTCCTGGTGAAAATCGGGGACTTCGGGATGTCCCGGGACGTGTACAGCACTGACTACTACAGGGTGAGTGGCTGTGCCCACTGGGAGCCCCCAGGGCCCTCTTTCCCTGGGAGGCCCTTGTATTCATTTGCTGGGGCTGCTGTAACACAATGCCAGGGGCTCAAACAACAGACGTTTATTTTCTCTAAAGCCTAAAAGTCCAAGATCAAGGTGAAGACAGGGTTGCTTTGACCCTTGGCTTACAGACAGTGCCTTTCTCGGCGTCCTCATATGGTCTTTTTGCTGCGTGCTCATCCCTGGTGTCTCTCTCTGTGTCTAAAGTTCCTCATCTACTAAGGACACCATCAGATTAGATGAAGGCCCCGTCCACAGCCTCATTTTCACTTAATCACCTCTTCGAAGACCCTGTCTCAAATACAGCTATATGCTGAGGCACTTGGGGGTTCAAATTTGGAGGGAACACAACGCAGCCAATAAAACCCATCCTGTGGCTTCCGTGGCTCTCCAGAGTGGTGTGTGATATCTCCAAGAGAAAAGCCCTCACCATGAATGGTTCCTCCAGGGGAGCCCCAGGGCTTGGGAGAATTCCTGGTTGGCATGAGGTTAAAGGGTTTTGAGGTTTGGGTTTGATTCCGTGAAATTACTCCTGGAGCCTCTGTTTGAGGTGTGGCTGAAGATGAACTTGTCCACATAAATAATAGCATGGTAGACCTTGGAAGTTACCACCCAGAGCCATCTTGGTGGAAAGTGGGTTAGGTGGTGGCCTTCTCGGTGAGATGGAAGAGGTTCTGTTCTGCCTCCTACTGAATAGTGCCACCCCTGGCTGGGGTTCCAGCACTAGAAGCACTGGGGGCTAGAGTTATAGACAACAACTCAAATCCCCTGATCACCTGGAATTGGTCCCCTTGGCAAGGTGGATTTGGATCTTGGTAGGAGAGGAAAAGGACATTTCTGGAAACCTTGAAGTCATGATAATGAAAGTGAAGGTTTGAAGTGGTGTTCTATCACGTCAAACCCTCAATTTGCTTCCCTTGTGGTTTTACCTGATTTCCAAGGGCAGAGAAAGAGAATAGGAAGGAAGAGGAATAAATGTGGTGTGTGTACAGAGCCTAAGAAGGTAAAACACAGAACTCAGCTAGCTTTCATAATAAGGTAGGACTGGTAGAGAGAATGCCTCTCCTTGCCTTTGTTCATCCCTTCATGGTTTACTTTTGAGAAGCCTTGTCTGTTTGTTTCCTGTGCCCCTCTCTGCAGCCTTACTCACTTCTCATACCTCTGCATTTTAGCTAAGCCAACATCACTACAAGTAGTCTAAGAAAATGAGTCCATTGCTCTCCTGCATATTCCTCTGTAGATTGTTTTGTGGGGTTTCCTCCTTTGGTCCCCTTGGGAAGCATTGCCCGCAGCCTGTGGGGCAAAGGAAGAATGGGAACCAAATTGAAAAGGAGTCTCTTGGGTGTATTTGTAGGAAACGTGAGCATGGTCTTAACTTCCGATGTTTAAAATGGAGCTTCAAAGCACCTGTTCTGAGTCTAGGGATGACTAGTCTGTTCTAGATATCTAAACTTTGGCAGGAGATATTACCTGCCAATGGATGCATCTCCACTGCTAGCTCTGCTCCTTTGGTGAGACGAGGGGTAGGGGACATCTCTTGGTCTCAAGAGATGAAGAACCACATGAGTGCTTCCCTAAAGAAAAGCTTTAATGATCTGAGTGAGCATCGAAGGGAAACACATGTGGCCCAAGCAACAGCTTTCTCTTTAGCAGTAAGTCAATAAAGGTCTTAGAATGCTTGGCACAAAATAAGTACTCAATAAATGGTTTTCAACTTTATCCTGATCCAAATGGATAAAATCATGCTTCATTCCCAAAGCCAGGACGGGGCCAGGGGGAGTCCATTGTCCCCTTCTACAACCTCTAGAAAAAAGAAATCAGAGGAAGAATATAAAAACGCTCAGTAGTAAGAATATAAAGCCCCCAATTTAAAAAACTGGCAAACTTTTTAAGAGAGGCATCTCCAAAGGAGATACACAAATGGCCGATAAGCACATGAAAAGATGCTCAACGTCATTAGTCATCGGGGAAATGTAAATCAGAGCCCCAGTGAGATACCATTTCACACTCACCAGGATGGCTGTAATAAAGGCAGACAATAACAAGTGTTAACAGGAATGTGGAGAAATCAGAGCCCTCGTACTGCTGGTAGGGATGCAAAGTGGTGCAGCTGCCTGGGCAAATGGTTTGGCAGCTTCTCAAAACGTTCGACACAGACTCATGGTGTCACTCAGCAATTCCACCCCTAGGTATGTCCCTAAGAGAGCTGAAATCATACGTTCACATAAAAACGGGTACATAAATGTTCATAACAGCGTTGTCCATAATAGGTAAAAAGTGGGAACAACCGAAGTGCCCATCAACTGATAAATGGCTAAGCGAGATGTGGTGATCCATACAACGGGATATTATTGGCCAAGAAGAAGGAATGAAGTACTGATCCATGCTATAACACAGATGAACCTTAATGCAACCCTTATGGTAAATTAGGAAGCCAGACTCAAAAGGTCACATATGTGACTCCATTATATGAAATGCCCAAAAGAGGCCCATCCATAGAGACAGAAAGTAGATCAGTGGTTGCCAATAGCTGGGAGAATAGAGAATGAGGAGTGACTTCTTCTGGATGTGGAGTTTCTTTTTGCAGTGATGAAAATGTTCTAGAAGTGCATAGTGGTGGTGGTTATCTAGTATATTTATAAACATACTGAATTGTGTACTTTAGAAAGGTAAAGATTATGGTACATAAATTATATCTCATCTCTTTAAAAAAACAACCCGAAAAGGAAAATACTAGTAAAATAGTGACCATTATTATGAACGTAAGAAGTTAGTCTGGATTATGTACACATTATAAAAGTATTGTTGTTTGTCATCTATCTTATTTTGTCAACATTTGTTTAAAAGAAAATTCACCGCTTAGGAGACATTTTCCCGAAGTACTTTTTTCTGAATTCATTAGAGGAGATTACGATTCCCAGTCTCGTTATTTGTTGAATGTTCTTGGAACTATCCTAGTCATTAGCAAATGTGCTTCAGATGTCACATTTCCTTAACCCCACCCCCCCACCCCGTTCCCATCATGATCAGTACTCAGTGGTGGCTGCAGGATCTGTATGTCCATTTGCCTGTTCATCCTTCAGATGAGGAAGAAGAACCAGCCTTACATTGGCCTTTGCTATAGGTGGGGGTGGGCAGAAGGGGGTAAGAAAGTGGATGATGGATGTAAGACCTGACAATTTTGATAGTAAGAAAACAAATTCTTGTTCACCTTTTGGTTCCATGAAAGTATTTATCATCCTAGAACTCATTTGTAGAATGTTTTTGCTTATTAAACTATCAAAAGCAAATCAGTGGGTTCCGTTCTGTTGAGTCTGCCAAATGGACAAGAAGAAGCTGTTGCTGTTTCTGCAGGTGAACTCCAGCGCGATCTTGCAATGGCTATTTCCCAGAGCACTCTTGCTTTCCACCAGTTGGATCATCTCTAAGCCCTGCATTTATCCCCTTCCCAACATGGTGTGATTTCATCCTCCTTGTCATTGTAGCTGGGGAATGTGCTTTCTTTAGAGTTTGGGTTTCTCCTGGGCCAGCACTTGAAGTGTGTTTCTCTTCATTATTTACTTCCTATCCTCTCCAAGAGCCTGCATCAGACCCCAAGGGGAGGAACTGCCATAGCTGGTGGGGGCCGTCCTCACCAATGTTAAGAATCTCTTCCGCCACAACAGCAGGGAAGGATTTTTGTGTCTGCCACAGCTATCTTCTCTGGAAGAATGGTGATTAGTCCTGGAGTCAACTAGGTTGAGGAGCAACATGTCCCTTATCTTTAAGCAAGAGCCAATCCCCCTGGCAACCTGAGCCTTCTGCTCGTGGTGGCTTATGAACAACCTGGTGGGGTGGCCACAGCTCCGTGCAATCCGTGGCAGGAGAGGCATGTGGCAGCTGTTCCTCCATCATGGGGGAGCTGGCTGCCCCAGGAAACGGCTGCCTCAAGGCTTCCACCCTGTTTCAGCTGAGCTAATTATATCCTCCCGAGGAAGGGAGAAATCAGAACAGTACATTTGCATTGAAACCAGCCTGATATGGCGAGTTCAAAATTACTCTAGCATTTATGTCCTCTGAATTGTTTTCATTAGCAGCTCTGCAGTACCAGTCTTTTATTTGGTTTTTATTCCTTCCCTTCACTGGCAAAACCTAGCATTTAGGAAACATCTGAACCAGATTTCTGCCACATTCTGCCTTTTGGAAACCGAGGAGCTCACTCTTCTTGGTCATTGCTGAGCCACAGTGGATCCACTGAAATTTTCCTGAAGTGCACCTTGGTGATTTTCACTCTTTGGGTCCAATGTATGCTTAAAATGAATGTGATCTGTTGGTGAGGAGAGAGCCCTGAAGATCTGAAATCCTAACTTTGAAATCCTGTTCCCCTTTGGGGTTTAGTTTTATGTTGAGGTGGTAAGAGAGACCATCCTTTAATTCACCTTCCACTTAAGGAGAAAAAAGAAGGAAGCAGAATGAGCAAGTTAATTTATGGTGGACGTTTAAAAAGGCAAGTGAGTATATATGGGCTAAGCAAGGCCATGGTCAGAATCCTAAAGTATTAAAGTGATACCAGCAACAACGTCTAAGAAATCATCTTTAGGTGTTCAATACCAATTTATTAACTGCAGAAAGAAAAGAAGATGGGTTGTACCAAAATCAGAAGATGTAACAAGTAGCTAGAAGAACTGATTTGAACGTCAGTACCAACTGGAAAATAAAGTCCTGAACCACAGAGGCTAGGGGAAGGTTTACATAACTTAAGAACCAGAGAAACACATAAGAAATAATCGAGCGTTAACTTTCATACCTTGGTATTGAGAAGAATGTGTTTCGTTTTTAAGGAATTTTGTTGTGCAATATGAGTGTTTCTAGAAAGATCAATTGATAGATCGATTGATAGATTGATTGATCAATCTTGATTCATTCCACAAATGTGCTTAGTGGTTTATTGTGTAAAATACCAACATCAT